ATGTGTGTTATGTGAGTTTTCTGGCCTGGCAGGTCCCGCCACCCTTCTCTGCTCCAAAGACCACAACGCCCAGCTAGGGTTTCTTATTTGGGTGGCTCTGTCTACATTATTAACCCATAACTACTAATCCATGTATTTCCTTGTGGTCTTGGCTTACTGGGGAATGCCGGACCTAATGTCATACCTGCAACTCCTTTGCCTGCTACATGACTGCTCAGCATCTCTGTAGCTTTGGAGCCTATCCTGGAACTCACTCTGTTGACCAGGCTGGTCTTGAACTCACAGAGATCTGACTGGCTCTGCTTCCCAAGTGCTGGGATTAAAGGCATATTCCATAATCTCCCGGCACAAATGAGCTTTTTTCAGGAAAAGAATTATGCAAGTGCTATACTAAATGTTGATTTTTGGTGAACCAAATTTGTCTTAGAATGCTTAGTTGGTATTTTATTTTTCCATCATCAAAACTTCATAAGCTGAGGGTGGTTTGAATCTGTTTTAGACAACTTAATGTTTTGCTTAAGGTCCAACTAGCAAGTACTGGAGTTGTCATTGGAATTGGATGCTATCAAATTATAACTGTAGCCAATTAAATTACATCTGTACTAGACAGCAAGTGTCTCAGGGCTTCTATTGCTGTGAAGAGACACCATGATCACAGCAACTCTTATAAGGAAACATTTAATTGGGGTGACTTACAGTTTCAGAGGTTTATTCCATTATCATCATGGCAGTATGCATTCAGAAATGGTGCTGGAAAAGGAGCTGAGAGTTCTGCATCTTGACCCACAGACAACAGGAAGTAAACTGTGCCACTGGTTTACTTAGGAATCCTTAAAGCCCACCCACATCCCCATAGTGACAGACTACCTCCAGCAAGGCCACACTCCCAATACTGCACCTCCCTTTGGGAACTCTTTTCTTTTGATCCACCACAGCAAGTATAATGTTTTACCTATGTTTTATTTGGATATTATACATACTTATTGGTAGTTCAGAGAATCTTAGCTGTGCATTATATGAAAAGTCCCATTACTTTGACTTTTAGATTTTCAAGCAAGGTTTTGATTGTCTGTTGAGGTAAGTTTATGGGAGTACACAGGATGGCATCTCTGTTAGCATCATGGGTCATGGAAAGTTTATCAGAGGTGACGTCTCAGCAGAACCCTGATGGTAATGTGCTGCATTAATACATATCTGTGTCTTTTCTCCCATAGGTATTTGATTCCAAATGCAGGAGATGCTACCAGAGCCATAAAACAGCAAATCATGAAAGTGTTGGATGCTTTGGAAAGTTAATGTAAAAGAAAGTTATTTAAGTGAAATTAAGGCAACCAAGAGAAACATGAAAATATATTTCCTGACTCAATACTAACCAGAGACCTTTTATTTGCTCATGGGGTGCCTGAGTAGAGGGTCTAAGTGCAAATTATTGTAATCAATCTTGGGATGGGTACACTTTTCTAAAAATTTCTTTTGCATCTTTGGTTTTATAAAATGATTTATTATAAAGGTCAGTTATTAAATGACTTTGAATTAACTGGCCTTGTGCCCTATGGACCAAGGGCACAGAATGCAGTTCTGTTTTGAAGAGCTGTTTTAATGGACATGCATCATTTTCAGGTTTTAAAACAACTGTACACATACATATTTGCGAGGTCTTCACTGAAATTTAGAAATAGAATTAGTTGAAGAGAGTTAATTGCTGCAATGAGCAATATCAGAAAATTAAAAGTATAGATTAGTAATTAGCTCACTGTTTCTGTTCTTAAAAAGATTGAAGTCTGTTTAATGGAATGGATGGCGATCATAGCCAACTCAAAATACAGCCCATAGTGAAACATCGGAGCTCAGTTTCACTCCATCTCCACTCCAGTAGGTAATTATTTGGGGACGAATTGCCTCAGAGATTCTAAGCTCCATCCCAGCAGTTGCTAAGGAACAGTTAACAGCAGTAGAAGTAAGTAGGCATATTAAGGTTCAAACTAGCCTTTCAGGGACAGAATCGCATCTGTGAAATGTCACTGCTCTCTATTCCATGGATCATTTGGTCTAGGCTATTTCAGAATGTTTGAACACTCTAATTTATCCTTCTTGAGATGACCACCTGTGGCCACACTGATGTCTAGTTTAAAAAAAAAAAAAAGACATAATCAGAGAGCCATAGAAATTTCAGTGTTTTTATATCACTTTCTAAAAATTTTTTTTTGGTTTTGTCAGTAGTTGAAACTATTTTTATTCTTTTATTTTGACAAAACGGAAGCAGCCTGCTTTGTTTTGCAGCTTGCTCAGATTAATTTCTGTGGCCCATATTAGTCACATGTGATGAGAGATCCAGAAACATCTTTTGGACCATGGGATGATTTTCATAAAATCTGTTTGAAAAATAGTAACTCTAACCTGCCATGTCATAAAATGTAATAGATTTCTCAAAGTGGTTGGTTGCTAGAACTATCTAGATGTACCCCACTAGTAGCCAGTTGTTTTAATTTGCTTAATGGAAATCAAGTGAATAAAAGATAACACAATGAAAAGAACTTTATTCTGGTATCTAAATAAAAAGTTTATTTGAGTGGTTGAAGACATTTGCATGAAATTGCACCTGTGCAGTACTTGGTATTTATAATGCTCCTCCAAACTGTCGTATTGCATTTTTTCCATTTTCTTGACACCCTCTTTGAAATGTCCTGAAGTCTCATTTTTCAACCATCTCAGCTATGGGACTTTTTTTCATAATATTAATGTAAAGATGTTTGTGTTACTGTTTATAAATTACAATTGTAAATAAACTGACACAGTTTGCTCAAAACTCGTGTTCTCAAAGCCATCCATTCTCTTTCATTTGTATTTTATCTGCAGATTAAACATTTCTGTTTTATTTGTATTCCTGTTCATGTGCCTTAGGTAGCTTAAAATTAATGACTCCATCTGGGTACTGGGGAGCTCATAGTCCCAGCTATTAAAGAAGACTGAGCCAGGAGGATCACTTGAGCTCGGGGAGTAGTGGCCCTGTGACCTTTTTCTCCTCTTTTCACTAGGGCAGATCAGATCTACAGGTACTCTGGCCAGCTTGAGCGTGGCAGGCATCACTCTGGCAGGCCTTGCCCTTCTCCCCCATTCCTGCCTTGCTAAAAACCATTAGATTACATTCCTGAAGCTAGCCACCAAGATCTATTCCCTTATTTGGCCACTTCCTCCTCATGAGGCTGACTACCAAGGTCCAACTATCAAAGTATTGAAGTCCAACAACCCAAAGCCCTGTCCCCCTTTACCTCATTAACATGCCAATTAAAATGAAACACCTCATCCTTACACAGGGTTTCCCCTTGTACCATTATAAACTGCTATTTTCCTATGTACCTCGTCTGTTTCTTCTATCCAGTGGCAGCCCTTTGTCTCTCCAGGACAACTATCCCTGCCCCCTTTCTCTTGTACTGTCCCATTCTCCCTAGTGTTTGTCTCTTATTCCCTGCCCTCTGTCTCTCTGGGGCAAATAAATCTCCTTTGTGCTGAGAACTTGGCCTTGGGGATTCTGAGCTGATACTTTTCCTTTCAAGATCCATCTCCATAGACCTGGCTTTCTCTTTAATAGTTGCCATGGCTACCAGGCCACTGCAGTTTTTAGTGCAAGATCTCGGAGATGGGGTGCATGTTATACTTGAATGAAATAAGGCCGTACTGCAACACGCTCACACCTTCTTCCAGCTCATAGATTCTTTTTTGGTTTTTTGAGGCAGGGTTTCCCTGTGTAGCTTTGGAGGCTGTCCTGAAACTAGCTCTTGTAGACCAGGGTGGTCTACACACTCACAGAGATCCGCCTGCCTCTGCCTCCCGAGTGCTGGGATTAAAGTCATGGTCCACCACCGCCTGGCTAGCTCATACATTCTTTAACCCTCTGTAGGGGGAAATGCCGCCAAGCCGGCATGGTCAGCATTTCCCCCCACACCCCTCTTCCACAATGTCCCCAGGTTCTCAGAAGAGGTGACATGTAGGAGAAGATTCTGTCATCCCTTTGAGATACGACATGGGTGCTGGAAACCAAACCCAGGTCCTCTACAGGAACAGTAAATGCTCTTAACCACTGAGCCATCTCTCAGCCCCTGCTTTGACCTTTTTAAACTGCTGTTTCTGCCCCCCCCACCCAGAGATGCCACACCCCAAAGTTTGTAAAAGCTCAACTCCCACTGGATGCTCTTTGGCTAAGTTTTTTGCTTTTTGTTTTTTGAGACAGGGTTTCTCTGCATAGCCCTTTTTGTCCTGGAACTCTGTAGACCAGAATGGTTTGAACTCCGACTCCATCCCTGCATTCAGGAGTTGGGGCAGGAGTTGAGTCAAGGCCAGCCTAGGCTACATAGTAAATAAAAGGCAGCCTGGGTTACATGAGACCCTGTCTGAGAACCACAAAAGCGCCAACCAAATGAAAAAACGGCGAATTAAATAATAAATACAAACGGCAACTCTTAGAATACTGCCTGGCACCTACTCTCTCCATCTCTTTCCTGGCCCCTTTAGGAGCAAGCTTCTGAGGTCCTGTTAGCCTAAATCAACCAGGTGCACTTACTTCCTCAGGCCTGTCAGCATGAAGCATTCATTACCCTGGCCACTGCTGCGATCCAACCTGAAATTTCAGTCCTTTTTGCCACATAAAGAGCCTTTCTACCCAAAGGAGACCACTCCATAACCATTTATGGCACACCACCATAATGTAGGTTGCTCCTCTTTGCCCTTGCTTCTTTATTTAAAGAATTTGTAATTATTCCTTTCTCTTTGATGTATCCAAGCTCAAAGAGCGAGCCGTATTTAGTGCAGAGCCGAGGCAAGGATGGAGCTCAGTGGTAGACAGATACTGAACATGTCCAAAGCCCGAGGCTTCCTCACCAGTCCTGCAATACAGCACAAACAAGAAACAGCAAAAACAAACATCTAATGCCCACAACTCCACGAGGCTCCGCCCCTCGGCCCAGCTCTTGGCCACTCCCATTTACGCGCTGCTCGGCCCCGCCTCCCGCGCTCGCCCAAGGGATTGACTGGTCTCGTTCCGGTGGTGGTGTTCCCGTGGCGCTTGGTGCTCGGAAGACGAGCCATGGCTAGTAAGTGGCACGGGGCCTGGTCGTCGAGCTCCCCCCGGGAGCGGAGGCTTCGGTGCTCAGGTGCTCAGGTCGCCGGTGTCCGCGGCTCGCAGCCAGGCAGGGCTGCTCGGGGAAGCCCGGGCTAGTGGGGCCGCGCGGGCCGTGCGAGCTCAGGCCTCCATGCCAGGCGTCCTGCGCTGGAGGAGCTGCTCCCCCCGCGGGTCCCGGAGCTGTGGGGTGGGTGGTGCTTTCCAGTTTCGTAGCCCTAACTCCCTGTTAGTCGCATCTCACTTCATGGTTCATATGTTAGCCTCCTGTGCCTCTTCGTCCAGTGACTTGGTGCGGATTTCCCACAGCAAGCTTCCTCGTCTGTAAATGTTTATAGGTGCAGTAACCTGGCATGCTCACGTAAATGTTGTTCCGTATTGGGCCCTTGACTAGCAGTGTTTTGCGTCCTTCCCCCTAGGATTATCGCTGTTGCCCATTTATAATGGCTATTAAGCAGCTAGGGATCTTCAAAGTCATTATTATCTTTCATTGAGAAGGTGAAGAAGCAACAAGTCCTGCTCACGGAGGACCCCAGCCTGCAGAGGGCGCGTTCCACCAGCCCCAAGTCGGGGTCGGGACCTTGTCCCTAGAGTGTCTTGAGGGAGAGTGGAAGCCAGAAGCAAAACAAAACCTTAATGAGTTTTAGCCTCACTTCCTTCAGAAGCAAACAGCCAGCTTCTTAGGGTTAGGGGGGAACCTTAGTGAGTCTGTGTGAACTCTGGTAACAATGCAAGGTATATTAACCTGAAAGTAATGCCGGGTTTTGGTTTCTTTAGTTTTTATCCAAATTCTGGCACTGTTTAGTAAGAGGCAATGGGGCTAAATGTAGTTTTTCTCGCCATAATTAGGATAAACGAAGGAATGAGAGATCGTAGTTTTTATACCTTTAATGATACTTTTTGCCTGCATCGGAAGCTGAGTTTTGTCAGTGTTGGTGATGTAATCTATCCTTTAGATTGCCAGTAGCTGTGACAATCAAAACCATGCCGGAACATTGCCAGGTGCCGTGTGTGAGAAGCCTGGTTCTGGCTGAACTTAGTGGGCAGGTCTGACAACTGTTTCCTTTTGTCTTTGCCCTCAGCTTTCCGATTGGCCCTCATCCAGCTTCACGTTTCTTCCATTAAATCAGATAACATTACCCGGGCTTGTAGCCTAATCCGGGAGGCAGCAAAGCAAGGGGCCAAAGTAGTCTCCCTGCCGGTAAGTATGGTGGCTGCCTGCCTTTCCTAGGAGCCATGAACCTGCCTCCGTGGTGCTTGCCAGCGGTGGTCCTCATGTGTCCCACCTCCAGTGCGTCTTTTGGACCCCTAGTATTCCATGTTTGTCTCTTCTATCACAGACACCAGCAGGGATCTTTGTCATAGGGTGTTTAACACAGTTACAGGTCTAAAGGATCACCTACTCTGTTCAGATGAGGAATACAAAATTTCAGGGAAATTACCTAAAGATAACACGCCTGTATGCGTACTCTGTTACTTACGTAGCTAAGGCGTTCTGTTGTTGTCATGCTTAGGGTCAGACCATGTTGTTTTAGCACTGCTTTGAAAAATTTTTTTGAGGCTTTGGCTGAAGGTTGTATCATATTTGATGGTCAGAGAGTATAGGGACAGCTTTGGAGTTCCTAGATGACCAGGAATCTTTAACAAAGGGAATCTTATTATTAATCTCATGGAGTGTGTGTGTGTCGATAGAACACTGTTGAAGGCAGAGTGTGTGCGTTAGGAAAGAGCTTGTTTACAGTTAGGAAAACACCTTCACTCCTGTGGCTTTCAGAATTTTGTATGTATAGGTTTTGTTGCTTTACATAATTAGTGTAATTTTGAACTCCAGAATTCATCCCAGTATTCAAAATCACAGAATAAACCTGATTTGTGGTGGGCCTGGATGTCCAAGAACTGGTCATTCCACAGGCTCCAGGCCTAGCTTTCTGCCAGTCAGCAGGATTTGTTTCCTCTGTCCTCACCAGGGGTAATTGCCTGTCTGCCTTTGATTTGGCATTGTTTAGCCCCGGATCTTTTCCTAGCGGTGTTTTATCCACTCACACAGCACCAGAGTTGGAAGTAGTGCGTTTCTACTTTCTGCAGAATTTTCAATGGTTTGCCCCCTTTCTTCTGCTCTAATATGAATTTAGGAATGCTTTAATTCTCCATATGGGACAAACTACTTTCCGGAATATGCAGAGAAGATTCCTGGCGAGTCCACCCAGAAGCTGGCCGAAGTAGCAAAGGAAAGTAGCATTTATCTCATTGGAGGTAATTCCTTCCATGTGTATAACATAAAACAGATACATTTCCGCCCTTGAAAAGAATCAGGTTGCCAGGAGTGGTGGCATACACCTATAATCCCAGCCCTTGGAACACAGAGGCAGGGGGATTGGAAATTCACAGTCAGTTTGGGATACACTTCAGGATACAGTAAGTGTAAAAAACTAGAAGTTTGTCATGAACTTTAAGATTTTAGATTAATCCCCCTAACCCAAAGATGGTTGCATACTTTCACAGGAGTCACGTATGTTAAAGGGTTAGTAACTACCATAGAAAGAAACACACCTGGTGGCTTTCCCTGGAAAATGAGGTGACTGGGTAGAATGTGACAGGAGAAACCTTACCTGCTCTGTGTGCTGATTGAGGAACAAAAGGCACAAACCTCTAGAGTTTATAGAATGAACACGATTATCTGTGATAATTAAGGATTAGGAACCAATAGGGTGTGTATGGAATTGGTCTGCGACGTAAACGTTTGTGTCTTAGCATTGTCATCATGGGGCCTCTGGGATTCAGTTTTGTTGTATGATGATGAATTTGAGCAATGAGGAATTCCTGATTTTGCTCTAATGTTACATATTAACTGTTGCACAATGCCACGACTGAATTTCAGGGGCAGTTTGGTTATTTTTTAAACCTTCCTCTGACATCTGGCCTAATTATACATTAGCAATAATTTGGAGTTCAGTCACTGAAAGATGGGGGTGGGGGGAGGAGAAGAATGCTTTGAGTAAAGCTTATTATAGGATCCAAATGACTGTTTCCCAGGCCTTTACCTAGTATCACACAGTTATTGGCCCATTCCTTTTTGTTACTGTTTGGTGTGACTATATATTTCTCTCAATGAAGGCTCCATCCCTGAAGAGGATGCTGGGAAACTGTATAACACCTGTGCTGTGTTTGGGCCTGATGGAAGTTTATTGGTAAAGCACAGAAAGGTAAGTGGGGGATGTTGCAGTTTAAGAAAAGCAGTGATGGAGAGAAAGATGCCATGCAACAGGGTTCAGGGGGGGGAGTTGTATTAGGGAAAGGGAGGGGAGGAGAGCAGCCTCTGGAGAAGGAGCAGCAGGAGAGAGGAAGGGGGGGCAGGACAGAGAGAGGGAGAGAAAGAAAGAGGAGGATGGGAGGTGGGCAGGGCCCTTTTAAAAGGGAACATAGTGAATGTCCATGGTGATGCTCATAGTGGCTGCAGGAGAGGGCGTATACTGTCAGAACCCCAAGGACAGGCAGCTTCATCCTCTCGTTCTTCCACTTCCGTATTTTACTTGTTGCTCCATGCGGGCTCTCAAGAATACCATTAAATAGCAGTGTCAGAGGACACACTCACCATTTCCCCCTAAATATGATGACTGCTTCAGGGTTGTTTAGTGTGACTATTAGATGAAGAAGAGAGTCCCCTTCATGGAAGAGTCTTGCTCTTTTGTTTTTAAAGTCATGGTGGGTTGTAGAAGTTTACAGGTACAGGCTGAGTATACCTCAGTGATGGAGTGCTTTTGTAGCACGGGGAAGGCCTGGCTTTAGTCATTGTCACTGCCACCACCCCAAAACATGAGTTTACTAACATTCGTATGTCTTTTTCTTTTACTGATATGTGATAAATTACATCAATTGATTTCTAATATCAAGCGACATTTGTTTTCCTTGAAAAAAAAAAAAAAACTCATTTTAGCAGGTGATGGTAGCACACACCTTTAATCCCAGGACTTGGGAGGCAGAGGCCGGCCGATCTCTAGGAGTTCAAGGCCAACCTGGTCCACAGAGTGAATTCTAGGACAGCCAGGCTACACAGAGAACCCTGTCTTGAAAAAAAAAATAAAAATGAAAGAAAAAAAATCTTATTTGAAAGAAATGCATTATTATATATGCATTGCTGACTTCACAAAATTTTACATGAATTTTGTTTTTGTTTTGAGGCAGGGTCTTTCTGTGTAACCTAGCTGGTTTTAAATTAAACTCCAGTGGTCCAGACTGGCCTTTAACTTGTGGCAATCCCCATGTCTGAGTATCTTTAGCTCTAGGCATGTGCCACCACGCCACTTTGTCTTTAAAGACTGCTCATTCTTTTTTGTTTTCTTTGTTGTTGTTGTTTTTTGCTACAGGGCCTCGACATAGCCCTGCTTATTCTTGTAGACCAGACTGGCCTCACACTTACAGAGATAACACCTGTCTCTGCCTCCCAAGTATCTCTTCCTCTTTGCCAGTTTCATCAGTGTGACTCTGATTCTGAGAAATCTTCTTAGCATTCATAGTGAGTAAAAGCAACACATCACATCTCAGGATGAGCCTGCACATTTTACATGCCTGTAGAAAACAGGGTTGTAAAACCTGCATCATTTCTCCGTTTTCCTGTAATAGATGGCCTAGGTAAAATAATGAATCTGTTCCTTCAGAGATTGGAAACAAGATAATTTAATACTATTATTTAAATACAAGATTACCTAAACCTATTATAATACTATGCCTGAGATCCCACACTGAGCAATAAGATAGGGGATTGCATGTCAACCAACTTGTCGGTGCAACACGGGCAAGCTGGGGATGACATTTGTATTGTGGATCTTAAGAGTATTTCCATATCTGACCATGGGGAGATGTCTGCCACTATGCTGAGAGGCTGTGGGAAAAGAGGTAACCAAATCAATTATTTTTGATGCAGATCCATCTGTTTGACATTGATGTTCCTGGGAAAATTACATTTCAAGAGTCTAAAACATTGAGTCCTGGTGATAATCTCTCCACATTTGATACTCGTATGTACCAGATAAGTTTGCCTCTTACAGTAATCCCAGTAAAGAAGAGCGGGTATTTTTCCTTTTATGTCTGTCCCCAGAGTTTTCCCATAGCCTTACTAAAAAAAGTTCAGAATTGAGGAAGGTAAGCAGCCAGAATTCTAGAAAGTTTGAACAGAATGGAAACCCAGGGTTTTGACACGGCATTTCTCTCCCATTGGGTTACAGCTTCCTGACCGTAGCATCCAGAGTATTCCTACTGGGCCACAATTGACACACCCTACTTAGATAATGGGCATTACTCACAGGAACTTCTCATAGCTGAGGTGGTGAATGATGTCTTTGAGATGATGTCCCGATAGGCTTAGACATACAAATTGTCTGTTTAGGGGAGTCCCATGGTAATTCTTCCCTGTCAGGGTTTTTGTGATCAGAGGTTTGCCCTTCTGTTCCATGTTCCAGGAGATTCACTTCTCATGTGTGTATTTTTGGTTTGGAAACAGCTTACTGCCGAGTGGGCCTGGGCATCTGCTATGATATGCGCTTCGCAGAGCTTGCACAAATTTATGCACAAAGAGGTGAGATAATACTACAGACGGGTTAGGAAGCCACTTGGAGGTTTGATTGTGGGATGGTCCTGTGGCATAACACAAAGTTGCTTAAAAAAAATTTGTGCATTTGCACGAATCTCAGAGGTAGTGTGTTAATGTGTTCATGTCCAGCTCTTCCACCCAGCTTGCTAAACAGACTTCTGATATGTTTTTTTTTTTTTGGGGGGGGTCCTCTCATACAATGTGTTGTTACGATAAATGTTACAATAAATCTTTCTGCCAAAAGCCGCTGAGCCCCACTGCCACGTGTAAGCTTTACGCCAGCCACCTGCCCAAGTTAGGCCCAAATGAATACACAGAGAGACTTGTATTAGTTACAATGCTGCTTGGCCAATGACTAGGATTCTCATCTGTTAGCTCAGTATCAATTATCATACATCTATATATTTTATAAGACTTATCTTATTGGACGCCTTATTGGCGTCCCTCCTAGCTGGTGGATCACATCGTGCCGCTGGAGCAGGAGCCGAGGGGAAAGAGAGCGACACTTCCTTTTTCCTCTTCTTAAATATGAGTCTCCTTGCTATGTCACTTCCTGTCTGGAACACCATTTCTCTACTACATTTCCCAGAATCCTCTTTGACTCCTAGTCCAGCCTAACCTGCTGTCTCATTGGCCAAGCAAGTACTTTATTTATAAACATATGCAGAAGTATTTCCCCCATCAATGTGTAGCTAAGGCAGAAGCTATGTTCCTGAATATCCTCTCTACCCTTTGAACCCTCCCATCACCCTGTTAAGTTACATGCGGCCCACTAGAAATGGAACAATGGTCTATGCTCTCCTGGATTTCAATTCTCACACAGATAGTAATATTTTGATCTAGGCTAGACTTACTCTGATCCAAGTCACTCTGCCCCTTAGTTGGCAAAGCACCTTGATCAATCATTTTACCTCTCTAAAGAGGTGTGGCTTCTAGTTCCCGAAGAGAATGCTTTGATGGGGGATTAAGGAGAGAACCTACAAAGCACCTGCTGATACCGTTTAACACATGCCCGTGTCCTTACAAGGCCACTGACACTTAGTGAAGTGGTACGGATGACTGACCGATGTCTAGCAGATGAGGTGTGTGCATCCCAGACCTCACAGTGTCTGGAAATGTATTGCCCCTAATGGGTGGGAAAGTCACATCTTACTCTTCTTCACTGTGTAGTCCTGACCATCTGGTGCCAAGCAACACTTTGATTACAGCTCTTTACTTTTTAAAAGTGAAGGACCAGTCCTAACTCTGCTCCCTCCATCTCATTTTACTTGTGGCTGTTATATTGGAATAGCTCTTAAAAAAAAAAAAATTCAGATCCCTATCTGTGTCTTGCTAGAATGACCTCTTTTTGGGTGTGGAGAAGTTTGAGTTTGGCTCTGTTAGATAAAGAATAAAGGAAGGAACCAGAGTCACCAAATGTTTAACTATGCATTTTGTCTTTCATGTCTGGAGGCTGCCAGCTCTTGGTGTATCCCGGAGCTTTCAATCTGACCACTGGACCAGCCCACTGGGAGTTGCTCCAGCGAGCCCGGTAAGAAAGGAACCAAGCATCTCAGTGTTGATGGAAGTATCAGCCTTAAATGGAATTCTACCGCTGACCCCACCTGCCCTGGCATCCAGATGCACTTAGGATGAATCTTCACAGAGAACTCTGCTGGGTACTGTCTCCGATGCCGTAGCAGTGACCTCAAAAGATGCAAGGTTTAAAGGCCTGTACCACCATTGCCATGTCTGGCTTTTAAAATGAGTTTATTTTAGATTGTACATGCCTCTATCTCTTTGTGAGAGTGTATGTCTGGACTGTTTCACCAACCTAGTGACTTCCAGTTCCAACAATTTTGTAATGGCTAAATGCCATTGTGTCATACATAGGTGTGATCTCTATCTACTCATCCATTAACAGATACGGGATGTTCCCCTTTCTTGGCTGTTGAGGAACAGTCCAGCAATGCTGGGGTTCAGGTGATTTTTCTCATGTTCTGTTGTTTCCTTTGGATTTATACCTTTTAGTAGGATTTCTGGACCACATGCTTTGTTTTTAGCTTTTGGATAAAAGTCTACTGCTTTCCACAATGGCTCTACTAACTTACAGTCCCACTGATAGTGGTTATTTTCTCCACACCCTCACCAGGATTTGTTACCCTTAGGCTTCAGGTTCCATCTGCATGATGATTAGTGATATTGAGCATTTTTAAAATATTTATGTTGGCCATTTGTGTTTGACAGCTGCCTATCATTGTGACAGAATCCCCTACATAAAGAAGTAGAAGGAGGAAAGTTTATCTTGACTTTTTCAGAGGTTTCATTTTACTCTTGGCTGGAGAGTGTAGTGGAGGCCTTTTCACTCCAGGCAGGAAAAAGAGGAGGGGCTGTGACTTACCTCCAGTAAAAGTTGCACAACTTCTGCTCCCAGTAGTGCTGTGGGCTGAGGACCCAGCCTCGGATGGTCCTTTGGAGGACATTCAGGCTCTGAATTATAGCACCATTTCCTGGGCTTCTTTTTAATACTATTTAGCTCTGTTGCTCTTCCTTGACAGGCTCAATTAGCCCAGGCTGACGTTGAACTTTGATTCCTCTTGTTTCAGCCTCCTGACTGGTGGCATTACAGACATGCCTCGCCATACTTAGATTTCTTGCAATTTTAAAATTGGGTTGTTTTGTGATATTGTTAGCTACAAATTTGTATCTGTTTCTCCATTCTGGAGGTTTTCTTTCTACTCTTTGGTACCTTCATTTGAAGCATCTTAGTTTGATCATGATCTCATGTGTTTTGTCTTATTCCCCTAAATCATTGCTCATCCCAATGTCCAGAAGCCTTTCCCTGTGTTTTCTTCTAGTGCTTTTATAGTTTTTGTTTTTCTAAAAATAACTGTATACACTTGGGTAGAAACATATTGCAAATCTACAATGTGTAAGGTATTTGCTTTCTGTCTGTCTACTGCAGGGCTGTTGATAATCAGGTGTACGTGGCTACAGCCTCTCCTGCCCGGGATGAAAAGGCCTCGTATGTGGTCTGGGGACACAGCACTGTTGTGGATCCTTGGTAAGTTTGTCTCGGTTGATCTCAGCCAGAGGTTGAAAGATGACACAGGATCATCTGCCCCACAGCTCCTCCTGCCTTTTACCCACTTATGCCAACATGAGTAAGGGAAGTTTCCACTTGCAATCCACGTGAGAAAGAAAGCATCCTGCTTGCCAGATTGAGTTTTGGCCTTTGTCCTCTTCTGCTTGTTTAAGCCCCATCTAGGCAGTCACACAAAATAAATAAGGCAGCAGCAATGAGGTAGGCAGTTGGTTTTAGTAAAAAAGATTCCAGAATTTTTAGCGTTTAGTTAAGATTTAAGCTGAGTGACTGGTCCCAGGATAGGAATGACAAACAAGGCAAAAATGTCACTCCCTATGTAATGACTGGACAGGGCAATGAGTTAAAGCAATGATTCTCAACTTGTGGGTCTCATATCAGACATTTACATTATGATTCATAACAGTAGAAAATTACAGTTGTAAAAGTAGCAACAAAAATAATTTTGTTGTTGGGGGTCACCACAGTATGAGAAACCACATTTAAGGGTCACAGCATTAGGAAGGCTGAGAACCACTGGGTTAGAGGAAACTAGCTGTCTCCCGTGAAAAGGTAACGAATTTTACCACTATGGGAACATATATCCGTACAGTAGCACAGTTGTTTCTCCATGGACAAATTACATGGTTGGCAACTGCAAGTGTAGGTTTACAGTGTATGTTCACACGTAAGATTTCAACTTAGACATGCATCCTTACTAGAACTTCGGACTTCAAAAGATGGTTTTAGTCCATAGGACTTCTGTGCATGTACACACTCACACACAAAGCATTTCCTCAATTTCAGAACAAAGAGACCAGTCAGCAAACCAAGAGTTTGAAGTTTAAATATCCCTATGAGGTCCCAGAGGGTTCCCCTGTGTGTGTGTGTGTGTGTGTGTGTGTGTGTGTGTGTGTGTGTGTGGTGCACGTGTGTGTGTGTGTGCGCGCGCGCGAGTTTGATGCAGGGGCTTCACAAGATGTGATGACTGATCTCTGGAGTTGCACACACCGAGTTTATGGGCAATGGAGAACTGGAAGGGTTACACTGGCTTCTGTCATGTTCCTGTCTGGGTGTTGGTGACAGGCTCTACAGCCAGTTCTGGCTGCTACCTAGAGTGGCTGTTTCTTGCAGAATAATTGCATGTGCTTTGTGCTATTGCTTTTGAAGGGTTCTAGTGCCCTCAGGACTATGCTGACATGGAGGTGATTGGTGCCTGGGGGTTACACAGAGAAAGAACTTTGAATGTGGCAGGACCGATGGGTGGGAATTACAACAGCCACATGGGTAGAGACTCTAATACTGTTCCTCATATCATGGTGACCCCCCAACCATAAAATTACTTTCATTACTACTTCATAACTAAAATTTTATGTGTTCCTATGGTTTTAGGCAACCCCTGTGAAAGGCTCACTCAATTCCCAAAGAGTTAAGGACCCACTGTTCTAGTAGATCTGAGTCCTGCACAGGCCCAGGCACACTACCCACAGGTGTGGAAGCAGCTGAGGGTGTGAGGAAGCGATGGAGAGCCTCATTAAAGGGGCTTCGGCAGGAAGTAGTATTGGCCCTTCCTGTTGGTAACTGGTAACTCTATTTCCAGATATTTACAATCACAGGATAGCTGTTGTTTTCCAGCAGTGTGCAGTGTAAGAAACACGTTCCACACTTTTCTCACTGCGCCTCACACGGCTCATATTCACAACATAAGTAATAGACCCCGAATTAACACTTTTCTCGTTTTAGATCGTAGAATCTTTTGGCCTGTTAGACCAAGAGGAAAACATTGAGAACTTGACTATCATTGGATGTCAGTGAATCTTAATCCATTCTCTCCATCTCCCTCAGGGGACAGGTCCTAACTAAAGCTGGCACTGAGGAAACGATCCTGTACTCAGACATAGGTAAGACCTGCACTGTTGTGGACCCAGTTTCTTTCTCCACAACTCTGGAACTGGTCTCTTGGAAGAGTGTCTTTGTGTCTTGCTCTTCTATCCTGGTCCATATTCTGGATCTGGTTCTGAGGATGAGCTTTGGGGCTCTGTCTCAATGGGCTTGTTTTTGTTTGGTTTGAATTGACCCCAAGACCAATGCCAGGCCGGCAGCATGCAGACAAGGCAGATGTTACTCACGGAGTCACTTGCTGAAGCCAGTTGTTTTCAGTTTGGGGAAGAAACCTTGGTTGGTAAGGAGTTGCACATTATCATGCGCATTCCTGTTTTGCAGACCTGAAGAAGCTGGCTGAAGTTCGGCAGCAAATCCCCATTTTAAAACAGAAAAGAGCAGACCTTTATGCAGTGGAGACAAAGAAGCCATGAAGTTAGTTTCTGACATATCACAAGCAGGATGACACTCTGGAAGATGATCCACTTTATACTACAGCCTCACATATGCAATTCTGCCACTGATCTGCAGCACAAGTCCCTTAGTAAATTTCTTTAAATTTGCTGGGTAATGATGTTCTAGCTCCTCTGGTAAATAACTACTTAGGCTGTTGGCTCTCAGGCATTTCAGTCTTAAGATCCTTCTGCACAATTAAAAACTGAAGATTGCATTTTTGTTAGTATGTGTAGCTGGTGGTGAGCTGGTAATGATGTGATACTTAGCTGGCTGAGAAAATAACTTTTGTAGAACATTGACTTTCATGGTGCCAATGTCCCATCAACATGACATTTTCAAAAATGATTTTATTAAAATTGTTTTTATACAACTTATTTTGATCATGTTTTTACCCCTCCCCACCCATCCAACTTTCTCTCTTTCAAAAACAAGCGAACAAAAAACCCTACAGAAATGAAAATCAAAACCAACAAGCAAAAGACCAATAAGACAAATAGAAAAAAAAAAAAGTCCACACAAAAAGAAAACAATGGAATTTAACACACCACTTCTAAATAGTAATAGATGTGCAGTTGCCATCTATGGCTTGTACAATACAGCTCAAGCATACAACTGATTCAATACGTAGTGGTTGTTTACCATACTGGTAAGTAACTTTATATATATAAATAACTTAATATATATAAGTATATAGTTTACTATTGTGGTTACTCACTGAAGAGTAACAATCAAGTGACTTAAAAAAATGAAATATGTGATTTGATAAAACTTGGCACACATACACAACTATGAAACACCAATCAAAGTGAATAGGTGTACCACCCTAGAAACTTTAAAAAAAATGGAAAAAACCAACCTATTATTCATGTCCGTGTGTGGGTATGTGCAGGTGCTCTCAGAGGCCAGAGGAAATCCCCCAGGGCTGGAGTTAGAGGTATTCATGAGCTGCCTGATGTGGGTGACAGGAACTAAATTCAGGCTCTCCCAGAGAAGAGAGCAGGAAGCACTCTTGAGACCATTGGCCCATCTCTTCAGCCCCTCCCCTGTAATCTTGTAACCTCTCTAGCTATTCAATCACTGATAAGCTTTACCACCATAGAGTACTTTGAATTTTTTAGAATTATCTAACAAGTGAATTACAACCTAGTACTCTTATTGGTACAGTTTATCTTACCTGTGCATCTGTAATGTATTACTTGATGGACATCTGAGTTTTTCATGTCGGTATGAGTGGAGTGGTGGGCAAGTATCAACTTCACTGCCAAACTTTTCCAAAGTGCTCATATCATTTTACACTGAGTATTACAGTAATGGTATGGTTAACTTTTATTATGCTTTTCCTTTTTGGAGATGGTGTCTTCCTATGTAGCCAATACTGGCCTTCAATTTGGGATTCCCTTACATTAGCCTCCCCAGTGCTGGGATTATAGGCACAATGTCAGGACCAGCTTTTTCACTGTAAATTTACTTCTTGGTCTGGTAAGATGGTTCTGTGGGTAAAAGCACTTGCTTTGCAGGCCTGATAAACTTTTAAGTTCAATCCTTGGAACCTATGAAGGAAGGAGCCTATTCTGCAAAGTTGCCTTCCACCCTTCCACATATAAGAAAAGAATATTTTTGAAAACTGACTTATCTAATGACTGATACTAACATCTTTTCACAATATGTCTTTGGTAATACCTTTTGCTCATATTTTTATGGCTTTATTTATCCAGATGTGGTAAGTGGCCTATATATTTGTATGTAAATTCTCTGTCAAGTATTGTATTGTTTTGTAGTCTTCCATTCTGGGGCGGGGGAAGAATGACACCCCCCCACCCCCCCGCACTGGGGATTAGACACAAACCTCACATGCTAAAGCTGTTTTCCATACAGTTGTAACCTTACCCAATCTCTTTCATTATTGTATGTCCTGCTATGTGACCTTCCTATCTCTGCCTGCGTGCTGAGAATACAGGCCACTGTGCCAACTAATTTTCATTTTTAAAAGAAGTATTATTAGAAGAACGAACATTGTGCATTTTCATGAAGGCCAAGTTACTATTTATTCTTTTTAAATGATTACTTTTGTGTTTAGTTATTTTGTCTGCATGTATGTTTGCACAGCACACGTGTGTCATCTGATCTCCTGGAACTAGAGTTACAGGCAGTTTGTGAGCTGCCACATGGGTGCAGTCCTTGGAATCAAATGTCTCTAGCCCTCCCTTATTCCCTTTTTAAGTTTGTCCTTCTGTTGTATATAAAAAGTCATAAAGACTATTCAGTTCCTTTGACGTTTATGGCTTTAGCTTACATTCACAAGTTCTCTCCATGTTGAGAACCACAATTAAACTTCTTTGTGGAAACAGTATGAAGAACTGAGCCCCTTGTAACATTTAACAGATGGTTTTCTAGGCTGCTTCTTCAAGTATAAGATACAGATAAAGGACAAAAGAGGGGGTTCTTTACTGTTCTCCATAGAGCTGTTTCACTGTTAAACGGATGAATAGTCTCAGGATGTTTCAAATCACACCAATAAAAACTTGCAAATGCCTATCTCCAAAGTTAGTCTGAACCAACAAGAAACTGACTAAAAAAGGATATTAGTTAATAAATGAACAAACTACCTATCTTTCTGTTACAAGAATAGATAAAAAAGCTTGAATGTAGTATTTATTTTGTGAATTTACATGTGAAGCCATTTACAAAAGAAAAGATACAGAGACAGATGCAGCTTTTAGTGCAGTTTCAATATGTTCACAACAGGCAAAAAAGTTGGTGACTATTTGGAATGACAGTAGTGAATGGCACATGCTTCATTATTTCCTACCCAGCCCCAAGAAAGAAGGGAGCAGAGTAGAAAATGTCAGTATTAATGTAAATACAGCCATGCAAATAAAAAAAAACAAAAACTTTTTAAGTGAAGAGGTCACATTCAGAGATGTAGGGACATTTCTGTATTTAGGGTTATCATCATTGGAGAATTATTTCAGAACAAAATGAAGAGCTCTCCAACTTTCCATTATCCCAATCAATCACCTTAAATTATATCAACTGCCCCTACTAAAATCAGCCACATGCTTACCAATCTTATCCAAAGACCAACTTTGTAAGAGAAGTCATTTCTAATAGTTTCTAAAAAGACAGCATGTGTAGACAAAATCATTTTGGTTTCAGTGGGATAAAGCACCCTTTTTAAATAAGAGTGTAAAATGCTCCTTTACTCTCAACAATGTAAACTATAATTAGACTTCCTGTCCATATGTCTTAACAGACTTACTTTTCATGTAAATTTTTCATATTTTCATTTCATGTAAATAAACCTCTATCTGTTCTGGATCTTGGAAACACTCAGTAAGAACTGCACACACCCCACCACACACAAACAAACACACACACACACACAAAAAAAAACCAGCATATAAATAAGCAAAAGGATCGTCTGTGAAAGTGATGAATGGAAACCTTAGCGCTTCCAAGGAGGGAATGAGGTACAGATAAAAATGAACACAACGAAAGTAAAATCAGCTAGCTGTCAGGATACCTGGAGATGTGGACATGGACCATCAGTCCTTAGAGGTCAAGGTTACTCAATAAAAAAAGTAATCTATGTATTGGACATCTCTGAAAATACTGGCTCAAAATCCCTTAAAGTTAATACAGCCACAGCTAAATAAAGCACTAAACTTTGTCATTTCAAGAAGTATGCTCTGGCTCCAGGACTGACATCCTTTTTGAACCTTTACCGTATTTTTGTAACTAGAAAATTTAAACTAATTAAATATTCCTATATATCATCACATGTACTCCATCTGTACGTGGGTTGTTCACACACACCCACTTTCTTTAAAAAGCATACTATTAAATAGTACTTAACTATGGAATAGTACAGGCAATTATATACATGTCTCTTTCATCTTACCTTCCTTGTCAGTCCCTCATTAATAGTCTTCCCGTACAAGTATCAATCAGAATATTTTGCTTCTGCATAATTTACTAAAGTACTACAGAATCAGAGGCACTGTGCATGCTGACAATAGCTTAAAGTCTTTCAATTTTACTGAAACCCACATTGAAGCTTCTCATCCTTCAAAAAAATTAAAAAGGATTAATTGAATATAAAAGAAGTCTATACTACAGCACTTACTATATTGAAGACCAACCAACATACTATAAAACACTCATATATTATACAAACAGCTATAAAAACAAAATCATTCAGAACATAATCCCCACCCCAATATATATATATATATATATATAAAAAAACAAATCAATAAATCAAAGTTTTTATTTGCATGGCCAATTACTGTTTGTATTCTACAAGTTTGTTTTAATATTCCTTTAATAGGTTTTAAGCTTTTGTTGCACAGGGAATAAAAGCTGCAAGACTGCAAACTTCCTTCAACAGCCACACCCACAACACCTAAACATGAAACAGATGTAATGAATGACAACATCACAAAGGGAATACTAAGTTCCACCATTCAACACAGTTCATGACAGTGTCTTCAGGGTTCAGTTGAAGAGGGGGTAAACTTCTTTTAAAAAGAGTCAGTCTGCTTTCCCCTTGGTTTTATAATGTCGGTGGTTTTAATCCGTATTTCTTTGCTACTTCTGTCTGGGCATGGGCAGCATCGCAAAGTGAATACAGATGAGCCATCTCCATTTCCGACTTGGCCAGGTTGATAGCTTTGTTGAACATGTCAATGGCTTTTTCCATGTTTCCTCTAAAGAGCAAAATTTCAAAATTTCAATAACCAATAAAGTTTAACTATGCTGCATGAAACCTTCAACTATAATTCTAATAAAAATGTTTCATAATAAACAAGAGTGTCTAGCACAGCACACTGAAAGCACCAATGAATTCTAACTATTCTTAAAAATACTATTCTAGCCGGGTCATGACTACTCACTCCCAGCACTTGGCAGGTCGTGGCAGGTGGATCTATGTGAGTTTGAGGCCAGCCTGGTCTACAGAGCGAGTGCCAGGACAGGCTCCAAAGCTACACAGAGAAACCCTGTCCCAAAAACCAAACAAAAAACCAATGTGAGGGTTATGGCAACAGCCTCTGAGAGCACTAGTAGCCTTCAGAGGCCTGCCCCTTCAAGGATTGTGTAAGGCTCTTACCTCATCTCTTACCTCAAATCTCAAGTCTGTGAACTGGTATGCAGTCACAGGACAATCTCAGCTCCTGATCATGCCAACCCTGATCACAACGAGCCCCTAGACTACTGTCCCTGCTGAACTCCCGTCAAATCTTTGCCTTCTAGGAGCCACTTCTCTTCCCAGAAGAATTAACCACTTTATTCCCAATAGTCTCCAGAGTTCTCTTATCCCTATACACACAGGCAGATGAATGTTTACACCATCTTACTGGCTCATTGATGAGTATCTTTCAGTTCTTACAAATAAATGGAGAACATGCTATAGCTAACAAAGTTTACATCTTACTATGTTTTATAGTTACTAAGAAACAACTGTTTAGGAAAACTATATGCATGTATGTGTACATGTGTGTAATCCTACATATAAAATCAAAGTCAATACTGAGTAACTGTCAGGAATGTGAGTACCCATAAATGTAATCATATTTGACTTCCTACAGCATATGGCTAGCACAATTAACTATTTTATGAATTCATATGGGCCATTTTTTTCAATAGCTTAGAAGCTCTGCAAAATATTAGCAGAATCAGCAATGCCAATCATTTAATTTTAAGGTAGGGCTTACAATGAACTCTTTTTTGAGACAAGATTTCTAGCTCAGCCTTACCCAAAACTCCCTGTGTAGCTTAGGAGAACCCTGAACTTCTCTGACCCTTCTGCCTCAACCTCCAGAGTTCTTTCAGAAGTCTGTCCCATACCCATTTAGAGATGGTATTTGCATATACCTGCCATCAGAGGAACCACAAATTTCTTGTCAGTCTTTTGAAGGAACATAAGTCACAGGTAGAGGAACTAATAGGAACTAAGAGGACTTACACGGACTCTTGATAAGTGATAATGGCAAGATTAGTCACCTTGACATCAGTCAAGTATGGACTCAAGTCTTGTCCTCATTGATGTTTCAGCGTGACCTTGTTAGGTTTTCAGCCTAAGTATTAGTTTCTGTACTCTTGTGTACTGGGAGCATTCATTAAAGACAGGGTTTAGGCCAACAGAACTGCCATGTGGAAGATACTCAACTTGAGTAGTTGATCTAGAATACGCACTGGAGGCAATACCAATATTAAGATGGTACAGTCCACTACATACATAGCTGTCAAGATGAAACGAAGATCTTCAGTGTAACTCTAGGTAAATATTTATATAAAACAAATGGTGGGAAATCAGAACTGTAAAAAATACAACCAAACCAGAGTTTTTATGAAAATTCAAAACATGTTATAACTTGTCCAGTTTCTTGGATGGTTGCTTCTGTATGGTAGGATCCAGACTTCACTGTGGCCTGTCTATCTGTTTCTAACAAGAAACAGACTGACACTGACTAAACCATGTTTCAAGTGTTTCTAGTCTTCCCACAGGAACAATAAAAGTGAAAAAGGAAGCCATACACAATACATAAAGACCTAGTCTCACTTTTTAACGCACAAGCATGACAACTTTTATTAATTGTAACTTTGAATTTGGAAAAATTATGAAATGAGGCAAATCTAAATTCCCTAATTTTGGGAGAACTGTGCACAAAAGTCAAACAAGCTTTAAAAATTTAATGGATATCAACTGATAATCAAATGCATGAGAACAAAACCCCCAAAATCTATGGTGCTTCATTACACTTATAAGAAACTCTAGAAAGTACCTCTGCACTTCAATAGTTCCCATGGTTTCATATGCAAAATCACATTTGTTGTCAATTTCAATGGCTTTGCTGATGAGCTCCAAACCTTTATCCAAATCTTGCTTCCACTGAAGTTGAAGTAAACTGGAAATGCAAAAGAGGGCAGTTAGATGGATCCAGTATGTATATGATTTGGTATTTGCTCTCCAAAAACTTGTAACTTAATTCCTAAGGAAAAGCAAAAACTAAAGTGGAACATAACACCACACTGGAGGCTTTTGCTACCAATTTCTGATGTTGAATTGTACAGCCACTGATTCATAAAGTCATGGTCCAGTCTTTTTTGCCTCTGTATTTCTAAGAAACAGAGACAACTTATTTTGTATGTAATACCAAGAGTGATTTACCTGTTTCCGAGCTCCCTGCCTGCCTCTCTCTCTTCTACCCTTGTCCCCCAACCAGTTTTGACTGTGGAATCCAGTCCTGGTTTTAGCTCCTGTCTACAGGTCCCAGAAGAGTTTGTGTGTTAGGTCTCCTGTCTTTGTCTCTTTTCTCCTCTGCTCCTGGCACTGGCTGACTTCTAGTGTACAGCCGGCCTGTAGTCTCAGCTATGTTTGGTTCACTTCATGGAAATAAAAAGTATGTTAGACATAGTGCCAAAAAATGCCCTGCAAATTCAGGCTTCTCCCTTTACTGTAAGGATGCAAATTAAACTTATCCTTACAAAAATAAAATTGTTACATTATTTTCAATTTATTGAATATATATAAATTCTAAATAATGTGATAGTCATTTCAAAAGATTAAAGGTATGAAATACTTATTTTATAGCCTTTAATTTTTTTCCATTTATGTATGTGTATGTTTCTGTGAATGCCTGACATATATGTTCAAGTGCTAGTAGAGGTCAAAAGAGGGTGTCAGATCCCCTGTAGCTGTAGCTATAGGTGGTTTAGAGTTGCCTATCAACACAGATGCTGGGAACTCAACTTGGGTCCTCTGGAAAATAAGAACTGCTCTTAACCGCTGAGCAATCTAATCTCTCTAGTTCCATCCAGCCTTACCTTTTAGGTTATTATTATTTTTTTTTTCTTAAACTTCACCCAAAGATGTATATCTTAACAAATACAATAATTACTTTAAGCTTTATTAATTTTTTGAGAAAGGTTCTTACTTTCAAGTAGGCATAAAAAACAAGTTCAGCTTCTCAATATTTTAATCTTTCCATAGCTTACTTTTCTGCAACAAAATATATCCATATACACACACATATTACAAATTAGTTTTGCAGTTGGCCATGATGATACACACTTTAATTCCAGCGCTTGCAAGGCAAAAGGAGGTGATCTTTATGCATTCAAACTCAGCAAGGATTACACAGTCAGACTGTCTCCAAACAAACTTGCATTCTTAAGAGTTTTCCACAATGTTTTATAATTAAAATGACTAGTTTCAGATACTTAGCCATAGCAGAATTATTATTAAGTTACAAACTATTGATAAATTTGAAAAGTAAAATAAAAAATGTTTATCTAAATGACACCATTAGGCTGTGTTTCACGGAACAATCTATGATCAATGTTTTCAAACACTGTTTATTAATAAACTCTCCCCTTTTGGTTGGGGAGGTTGACACAGATATCAGACCCTCTCTCAGACAAGGCACAAAGTGAGGGCTGACACCCAAATTGTCTTCTCATGTCTACTGTGGCAAGTGTGTCCACGTTCACACATGCACACGTATCACATACTCATAAAGATTTAAAAAAATGCATACTGTAAGAAATCAATCAATTCATTGATATGTCTACTCTGAATCACTTCTGTAAGGCTATAAGAAACATTCTATTATTGTGAAAGAAGTTTAGTGTCTTATTGGAACAAACAGAACCAGAAAATACATACCCTTTATGAACATAAGTTGTAGCATTATCTGGTTCCAGATCAATACATTTATCATACATTTCATCAGCTTTACCAAACTGTTGTTGATCTGTTAATGCCTATGTGAAGAGAAAGTTCAGTTATATATATCAATGTAACTGCTAACCTGAAAATTAAAATTATACTGTTTATTTTGCATTAAAGCTTATTTACCATCAATTTACTGCTTGAAATTAATTTAAGCCAGTTTAAATTTTACATCTTAATTACTCAAGGTTTTAGGTTGTACCTATTATAAATATGTGGTCCTAACCATCCTCTCTTCCCGTGAGTAGTTAAATGAAATCAAAGAGTTTGGGAAACTAAAGAATACAGAAGAGCCTACTTTTAATGACAGCTATGTCATTTTCACAAGTCTATACTTGTGCTTATAATTATCACACTAATATTAATGGAACTAGTCTTAGGGGGGGTGTGTTATAGATGTATGAACTATTATAAGATTTTCATGGATACCAGAGAGTATCAAGGCTTTAACTTGGAGAAGTGCTGGCAGTACCTAAGCCCAAACTTTTTTGAGAGTTAAAACAAAAAACTTGATACTTATACCTTTTACAGAAACTATGGAAACAAAATTTAGATTTATATATGCAAAAATCCTCAGTGAGTTAATAATGGTAGTGCAGCTGTGAAGAGACCTCCTACAAATCAAACCCACTTAAAAGGAAAAGGTCAAGTGTGTGATTTGGAGACACACTGCAAAAGATCTTCTTGGTGCTAGTTCCACTAAAGGATCTAAATCTATAACCAAAAAAGTTCTGAATTCCACGACAAAGGATGTTACTGTCCATTGTTAAATTAGAAATGTTCATTTTAGTTTAGCTTTACACAGTGCATGTTTTGTTTTGGTTCCCCCCCACCCCAAGATAGAGTTTCTCTGTGCTGCCCTGGCTGTCCTCTAACACAGAGAACTGCCTGCCTCTGTCTCCCTAGTACTGGGATTATAGGTGTGCTACTAGAATCTGGCTAGTGCTTTTATAGTAATTTGCATGTTATTTTATGAAGAACTGGGAAGAACTAAGACTAAAGGGACAACAACTTCTAGGATGCTTCATGTCCCAGATTTTCAGTTGTTGCCCAGTGGTGTGTAGGACACACTGGAATAACCCCACACAAACCAACCTTTCCACAGGCCTCTCTCCTTCAAATTTTTATGAAATGTCAGCCATCTTAAGATGGGATTAGGGAAAGAGCCTACAAAGATAGCGGCTTTTTAAAGTTTTCTATTGCTATTGGATTTTTGGGGAAAGCTCTTAGAGTTTTTTTTTGTAATTAAGAAAAAAAGTCAGAAATCTGGGTATGGTGACAAAGGCTCACAACCTCAGCACTTAGGAGGCCAAGTCAGGAAGACCATGAGTTCAAGGACACCCTGGGTTGCACAGTAACCTCCCATCTCACAAAAGGAAAAAAAATGAATACAGGAAAGGCAAATTTCAACTAAAAGACAATGGGAAGAGGGTCACTCACTAATACACATGACACAAAAATCAATGTTTTTTATGAATTTCAATCTAAGTTTCAATAATTTTCAGCAAAAATTTGCTGAAAGGCTCATGCCTTTAAGCTCAGCATGGTCTATCTAGTGAGTTCTAGAACAGCCAAAGCTACATAGTAAAGGAAGGAAGGAAGGAAAAAAAAAAAAAAAAAAAGTTTAGACAGTGGCTGGAGATGGCTCAGTGGTTAAAAGCCCTGGCCACTCTTCCAGTGAACAAAGGTTTGATTCCCAACACACACACAGTACCTAACCAACTACCTATAACTTTAATACCAGGGAATTCTGGCTGGGGGAAGGGGGTTATAGTTCTCACTTTGGCAGCACATATATTAAATTAGGGATATTGTTAGAAAGATTAGTATGTTTTCCTGTACAAGGATGACAGGCAATTTTATTAAGTAAACAGCTCTGAAAACTATTTTATTAAGCAAGGTAACCTAAACTCAGAAAGACACATGTATACATGATCTATCTCATGTGTACATCCAAGCATTGAACTTTTGTGTTTATATGTGGGTGTAAGTGCAGGTACAGGTCATGAAGCTAGTGTGTAAAAAGAGGTTCTAAGGGAGGCAAGTGGGTAACATAAAAGTAAAAAAGGAAACAAGAGGGCAGAGGGGAAGAGGAGTGGAAGACATTTAAGAGAAAGAAATTATGAATGATGATGCTGGAAAGAAACTTGTTACTTTGTATGCTAATTAACAAGAATTTTAAGCCAACCAAAGAGAAAGTAAGCTGTTACAGTTTAGATAACCATTTAAAGGGCTTTGAGCAAGCAAAAGGACCCCCATACCATGGATATTTTCCCTATCAGTTAAGTAAAGAGTACATTTTCTGAAGGAAATGACTTTTAACAGTCCAGTCCTGAGAAAATGCTTGCCCAGCGCGTCCACACGTTCTGAGCTTAGGGTCAGTTTCCAGATTGGATGTCAGGAGCTTCTCCTGCAGTGGTTCAGGACCATGCCATGGGCCTTGACAATCAAAGCAGAAACAACACTGCCTGCATCCACAGAAAACTGTGATCAGGCCAGCATAATTCCCTACTGGGATCAAGTTTACAAGTGCAGTTCTTAAGAAATGCTTATACTTACCTGGGCATAAAGTGCATAGCCTTCAGCACACCTTGGAAATTTCTTTATGACTTCTTCAAAACCTTTCATAGCTGCCTGGACTTGTGAAGAATTGTTTGCTGTGTATGCCTGGCGATACTGTTTAAAAATCAGAATACTCCAGTCAAAGAGCTAAAAACACTTCTGGAATTTTAACAAATTATAAAAGATACAGAACACTACAAAAGCATTTCCAGAAAAGCAGATGACTTGTTAATCCAAGTTGCCAAGGAGCAACTCAGCAGCAGAGAATCAAACACAATGTCAGGACTACAGGGCCACTATGTATTCTAAAGAAGCAAGGGGCTCTCAAGGCCTTGTGGTGGGGTTTGAATGAGAATGGCCTCATAGGGTCACACATTTGAATGCTCAGTTCTCAGCTTTTTTTGTGGGAAGGATTAAAAGATATGCCACTGGAGGTGGACTTTGAGGTTTCAAAAGCCCAGTGACTCTTCCTCCCGTGGATCAGATGCCAGCTCTCAATGACTGTTCCAGCACCTCATGGTCCCTAACATGATGACAACGGACTAGCTCTTTCAAACTGTAGCATCCAATTAAACGCTTTCCTTTCTAAACTGCCTTGGTTATGGTATGTCTTCACAGCAATAGAAAACTAAGATGTTAAATAAGCATATAGATGGCATAATCTGATTTATTTAATTTTCTGCAGTGCCAAAATTCAAAACAAGGACTTTACACATGTTAGGCCTTCACACAGCCTATTACCAAGCTGTATCCCACCTACTGAACTTTTAATGTAACAATTTTATTTTCATCTTAAACCTATAGTATAAATATTTAACGACAACTTTCTTTAGAGGGAAAATTATTTCATGACTGGTCATTGGGAAAGCAGGAGCAGTTAAATCATGTCATGACTATAAATTATTCCCTTAAATTGTTTTGGAATCCTTCATATTAGCTTATAGTAGAGCAGCAATTCTGCAACACTAGCACGAGAAGCTGAAGCTGGAGGGTTGTGAGTCCAAGGCCAGGTATATATTGATTAAAAATGCTTCACACATCTTTTCTCCCTGAAATCACCATTTGAGAAAAACATGATTCTGTAGACAATGAGATGCTCATTTTGGTGAATACTACAAAATACAAATAGTGCTTATGAAATCACAAATGAAAATGGCACCTACCAATGCAAAACACTTCTGAGCTTGTGCCAGAGCAAACTTGGGTCTTAACCTAATACACGCATCAAAGTCTGCCACTGCTTCTTCAACTAGATCCAGCAGAATTTTCAGCTAGGTAAAGAATACATAATTAAATGCAATCAAAATAACAGGCTCAACATTTAAGCTTGCACCACATTTCTCTATTTCTTTCCTGTTAACACAGTTAATGTTAGCATTTACTAATTATGCAACATAAAATTACTTTGCAGGAAAAAGTCATGATTCTAAAACCTCAAAACTGATATCTAATTTAAAAATAAAACAATCCATTTTTTTCACTGCAGTTTTGATAATAAGAAATGTTAAAAAAGAAAAAGTGCCTCTATGCTTAATTTCAAAGCAGGTTAGACTTTATATATAATTACCTTTCAATTAATTTCAAGACACTTAAAGATGGAAATGACAAGAATTTTTAAAGTATTATTTCAGAACCACTGAACAAAATTCTCCCTTAGAAAGAATTTCAAGTCAGGTATATCTGTAATCCCAGTGCTCAGGCTGCTGAGGGGGAAGGACTGTGTGCTTGCTCAGATGAGCTCGCACAACAGCAGAGACTTATGTCTAAAATAAATAAACAAATACCCATACTTTTATTTGTTACAGAAACTGTTCCTCCTTTGCCATGTTAAGCAAATTAGACTAGGTGTGTTGTGGGTGTTTGGCTCCCTGGATAGTGTTGGGTAGCTTACAACTGCCTACCACTCCAGCTCTAGTGTATCAGACACCTCTGGCCTCCCTGGGAGCCTGCACTCATCTGCACAAACCCCTATAGACACATACATGTAATTACAAAGAGTCATTACAATGTTTACTAAGTTGGATTAGTGTTTACTCATGGAAAACCTATAAACTAGGTACAACCAATAAACTAGCTCATCTCCAATCCCTCATTTTTTTTTTTTGCCTTCCCTTTCTTCCACAATACCAAAACTATAATAAATGTTCAAGATGTAAGTAAATAAAAGCCAATCCAATCTGCAAAACACTTAAACTTCAAGAAATTCTAGAAGCAGTTATCAAGTTATCGCCCAAATTCTAGCCGAGACCAGACCTACCTGTCCTCGGTGGTGATAAACATCGGAGTTCTGAGGGTCGATCTCGGCAGCCATGTTGAAATCCTGAGTGGACAGCATAGGCTGCTGTTGCTGCATGCACATGGTGCCTCTTTTGATGAGGGCATTTGCTCGGAGCTACACCCAAAGTGAGAAAATGTTCCTGGTTAATTTAAACATCCAAGTCAGATTCAATCTGCAATGCCTACTATAAAGTTCACCCTTTTAAAGACCATATGCAAGTTTGCTGGTTCCTTAACAGAAGATTGATCACTACAAATTTCAGAGCATTTTTATTGTACCAAAGAACACACAGCACAAAGCCTCCAACCCAAATGCCCAGAAACCACCCACCTCTAGTCTATTTCCTCATACTTGTACATTTGCAATGTTTCATATACTATATGGTTCCTTTTTCTGGCTTTCATTTAGAACTGTCATTGGTGTGGTATGTATTAGCATTCCTGATTATGACACAGTAATATTTAAGCACATAGATGATACTGGACATATGGGTTATTTTTATCTTTTGACTATCATGATGAATACTGCTGTGAACATTCAGGTATGTATGTATGTGTATCTTAAATTCCCTGGAAGCAGCATTCATAGATTACATGGCAACTAGGAATAGGAATGAAGAGGTACTTCAATGAAGTTTTGGTTGACACTGTCCTAGTATAGTAGGTCGTGGTGCTGGAACACCTTTTTCATGCTGTCATTGGTCATTTATAGACTATTCTTTTGTGAGTTGTCCAAATCTTTTGCACATTTTCAGGTTAGGTTCCCTTTTTACTGTTGGGTTTTAAACTTTCATTCTTGATTACAAATCCTTTCTTTATCATATGAATGCTTCTTGAATATTTTGCTCCATTCTCTGGAAGGTGTTTTCAGTTTCCTGATATTGTCCTTTCAAGCCCAGGCTTACCTTAACCTATTCTTCAACCTTAGTCACCCAAGTACAGGCCACCACGCCCAACTCAAAAGTGGTTCTTTTTCTCTTTTTACATTCATTGATTTACTCTGTGTGTGTGTGGAAGTCAGAGGACAACTTGCTTAAGTCTATCCTTTCTTCTACCTCATGGGCTCCAGGGATGGAACTCAAGCTGTCAGCTTTGGCAGCAAGTTCTTTACCTACTGAGCCATCTTGCCGGCACCTTTTTCTCTTTTGAAGTTGTATTTTATTTAGGTGTCGTATTTCAGAAACTCCTTCCTAATACAAATAGTTCTTCCTATGTTTTTCCTACAGGTTTTATTTTTTAGTTTTTAACATTTAGGTTTCTGGTCCTTTCCAGTTAATTTTTATACATGACGTAGAGTAGATATTATTGCTCCTTGCTGTTAAAGCTGAAAGTCATGATCATAAATACAGCTTTCTTCTTCAATCAATAATGCATGTACTTTACAGCAAAATATAATAGTTTTAGTAATTAGGAAATCAGCATGAAAAGAAATTCAGGAAAATTTTGTAGGGTAACTTCAATGTGAAAATATAATTTCAAAAGGATTTTAACAATACTCAAGAGCATCATTCACTGTTACCACTATCCAAAGACCCTTCAACTGTAGGCCATAGCCACAAAAAAGCCAGCAGCAATAAATGCTGTAGAAAACAGATATCTGTTTTCTTACACAAAGATAAATATTACCACTTCAGATTCACTACACCAATATTATGTAGAGTCCTCAAAATCAAAATAGCCTTTCAGAGAACAGCTAGAGAAATGCTAAGGTATCGTCGAGCAATGCAACTGGAGAAGAAATCACATTCACTTTCTAACTTCCCACACGCACACACATTTCAAGATGTACCTTCACATTAGCGTCCTTCAAACTGATGACCTTATCTAAATCAGGTTTGGCCGAATTGGCACTGCCAATAAGCAGGTAGAAGGTGGCTCGCAGTAGTAAGGCTTCTGCCATGTATTTGCCTTGGGCATCTATTTCCTTTGAGCATTCACTTATGATCTTGTCATAGTTTTCTTCTTCCATATACTGTTTAGCTTTTAAATATCCAGAACTGAAGATGAAAAGCAAACATAGGAAGTTAATTACTAAGGAAAGACCAAAAGCTAAAACTTTCCACATATGGCACTCTGAATTGTCTTTTTCTCTTATATTAACCAGTCAATATGGGAGATGAAAATGACTAGATTTCTTCACCAGCAGAATTTTCTTGGTACCTTCAAGAAACAATTTTCAAGCCGAGGCAGCAGGGTCATTGGCAGAATCCGTAGGCTAGTATCCTGATTCTAACATTAGGTAATGTGAGCTGAGCTAATGAGAGAGAAGACACTCTTCTGTAATATGGATGAGGACCTTGTCTTACTTCCTGTCTGGGGCATATCAGTAGTGTACTCAACACTTACTTAAAGGCTAAGAGAAGAACAAGGAAGGAAATAGACAATAACCAAGGTGAGAGGAGTAGCCAGACACGTGTTTTGTACAGATCACTGTTTGTGGAGGACGAAGAGGGCAAGGAAGAAAGTGAGTAGAAATATTTAAGTACCTCAAAAGTAGATTTATTGTTCCACCTTAGAAAGTAGACCTAGAATTGCTCAGGTCTCCAGAATTATGAGGCAAGCACCCTTACCCAACAAGCTATCTTGTAGAACCCTTAGAATGACCTCTCTTTTAAAAACACAGCGAATACAAC